AACCCCCGTGGGTGCCCCAAGCAATTTCGAGCCAACATTCGACTCAGGGACCCTGGACAATCCTGTTTGTGAGGCCAAACTAACTCAGGAGTCTTGTTCATTCCCCAGTCCGAACTCTTCCCATGTTGATTTCTCACAAGCGCTAGATGACAACGAGGGGAAGCCTGGAAGATCCTGGCTTAGTATCGTCCCCCCTAAACCCTGGTTTGATTAATAGGCCTTTTAGTGGGGACTCATTCATCACTGTTGGAATGGATAATCCCCTTCTAACATGTGCTTGATGTTCCCTTCGAAGCTCCAAGGGAACGACCGGGAAATGTTTGGGTACTGCAGAAACGTCACACCAACGTTGACCAGGAAGCCCCCCCTATGACCCCGAAAATCCTTGTGTCAAGCACCACTGTCTTTGGGCTTGCTTGCTTTTGCCAACCTCTGAGATCCTGAAAAACGACCTCAAACACGCGTCTTCAAGATGACACAGCTTGATGTGTCGGAGAATCAATTCCCGCTTCGCCGGTCAGCTGCCTTGCAGGGGGGGTGTACAACGCCATGTCACTTGCTGCTGAGTCCTTGGGTCAAATCAACAGCATGCAGCCCAGTCAAGTCTCCTCCCTGGACTTTCTTCCCTTGTAGCCGGTCCCTTGCCCGGGGTCGACTTACGCCTGGGTGTTTGCCAAAAGGGCTCTCACCAGGTTCGCTTATTTAAGGAGCGTCATTGCAATTCAAGGGCGTCATTGGTCCAGGGGTTGATTCCCCATTATTTTCAATCATCGTTCTTTCAAAACCCTGCCGTTTTCCCTGGGTTTCTGAAGGTTTTCTGGAAAGAAGGATCCCTGGAAGAATGGAAATGGAAGGTACCCCTAAAATTGGTTGAAAGCGCTGGCCCATGGAACAACTCCCTATGTCAAAACTTTCTCGCATCTTGGCTGCCCGGCTTCTTCACAAAGGGATCCAGCTTGCCCATGCGAGCCTGACAATGGCATGACCCTAGAAATGGCTATGGAACAACTGGGCACAGCTTTTTGTGGCTGATGTTAAAAAAGAACCCCCCGGGGACCCCCCCCCAAAAAAAACACAAACAAACAAACAGAAACGTTTGGTTTCACTTAGGTCACAGACAAAACACATCTACCAAAGTTACCGAAGGGCACGGATCATTGTGCTGGGTAAGGCATGGCTCCATGTTTTCCCTAAAATGCTGGAGGACCTTCTGGCAGCAAACTAGGACTGAAAGATCTCAACAGGAAAGAGAAGTCGGGAGCTGCCAAATTGTGCTCACACCCCAAGATTTGCTTGGTGGCCATGGCTGACTGTCGGTCCATTCTTGGGTTGGCCTCTGCCCATGTGTACCATAGGTTCTGTGACGCGCTCGTGTTGATGACTACAACATGCCCTGAAGACTCAGATGGTGCACAGAGAGGTTCTGACCCGCAATCATTTGCAGTCATTGGCACCACATCTTCCCAACTAATGACTCATGACCAATCGTAACGAAACCTTTTCCAGCGTCCTTGGATATGCACATGTTATCTTCAGGTATCCTTCAAGTAGGTGCTTCTCAAATTAGGGACAGATTCCTGCAGGTGGTTGGTTTCCTTGTGGGTTCTCTTTGAAACCACCCAAGAAGGGAGATCCATGATTGTTTTTTTCCTCAAACTACGGGAGCCCCAAAATGGGCTGTGTCCATATGGCTTTCCTTTAAATCAACGCAACACTTGCTGGTGCTCAGCAGGGAATGAGAAATGAAATGACCCCAAGACAGACCATCCAACTGGTTCCTTGAAGGGGACCAATTCCTGGGCCCTCATTCCCTACTTATCGCACCCCAGCAAGAAATAGGCTCTAGCAATGCCCTAGGGTTCAACCCCCATTAAAACAATGGTTGATAGAATTTGGATGACAACCCTGAGGTAAATCATGGTGGTCATGGTGGTTGAAGGAGCTGGTCCACCATTTTGAGAAGCACCCAAGTGACCCTTTCTGGGGCTTGCGGCGCGGCAGGCATTGGCATTCAGCACCACGTGGGTCACGTTGTACCGGCGGAGGGCCTGTAATCAAAAGCTGGGTGCTGGGTGGGTGGCGTTTTCGGAGCCCTTGGGGTTGATAGGGTTGGTATAGCAGGAAAACAAAAGCTACTCCAGTAGAGAGGTTAGAATAAGGGTACCCATTTCTCTGCAGTCTATTTTAGTAGGGGAACGCTCCCCAAAAAAGGGTAAAAGGGCACGACTGGGGGACCTAGAAAGGAAACCGCCTCATTTGGATTTTGGCTCGATCTTGTGACAGACTCAAGTTGGCGGCCTGGACGAAACTCTTCAAATTACACGTACCATTTTGGTTTCAGCTTGCGTAAATCAAACGCGGGCTATTTAGCACCCAACTCAGGGAATCACCTTCCGAGGAAGCCATAAATGATTCATAGGTCATTCCCCATACTGGTAACCAGCCACATACTGAGAACCAGCCAGAGGCACCAAGTGGAGCTGGAGAAGCAAAGAGCGATCACATAAAACGGGGCTTGTTTCAATTGGACCGGCTTTGATAGAGCACGTGTCACCAGGACTCGTTTGGACGTGTGTTTTGAAAAAAACAGAGAGCCGCAGGTTGATTCACCCAATGAGGTCATTCAATGCTTGTTCTTTGTATGGAATATGTGCCTACGAGAACCCACTCGCTCTTCGCTCTTGGCTGTGGGTAGTTTGCATTTTCTTGCTGAGACGGGGATATGCGAATATCCGGAGGCGCGACTCGCTAATTTCGAGGGAAGATTGAGTATTCCAACTCCCCAAATCACTGGTACCAACCTTGTTGTCCGCTCGAGCAAACGGACTCATGCAACTCGGAGCTCAAAGCTGACACCCAGAGTCCAAAACAAAACCAAGCCACCGCCCAATTGCCGTGGAAAAGTGCCGCCAATTGCAAAGGCGCAACAGGGGACTGCGCAACTGGGACCTCCAACAACATGACCCGGTGTCTCAATGAGCAATGCGCACTTTTTTTTGGCTAAGCATCGCAAAACAACTCCTTTGCGGCCCCTTGTCCGCCCTTCGCCATCGCATCTGGCCCCCTCGGGCATTCGATGCGCAGGCCGGGCGTGCGAAAGTTGGCCCATGTGCTCATCTAAACCGATCCGAGGCTTGTGCCTGCAAGCCAACCTTCATAGCTTTGTCCTCCCCTTTTCTACATTCTGGGTCCATCGAAGTGGCATCAAGTCTCCCCTTGAAAGCGACAGCTCGAGGCCCCAACAAAAAGAAGCACGGCACAATCTAGGAGCTTGAAGAATACGACCAACCACGAAAAAAACTGACGGTCCTAGCTCAGGCACACAAGCTAATTGAACAGTTGCACACTGCACTGGACAGAATTCATCGGACAACTCGCGTTGCGCCCGGAGTTCAGCGATGGGCGCCTTGTTCGGCGCCAGCCCCGAACAAAGGCGGGGCCATGGAGATTGGAAGGCCGTGGCTAAGGGTAAATCGCCAGCATTGCTCTTGCTAAATCGAGACCCTGTGCTAAAGCAAGTGTACATAGTTGTCTGATCAGCTAACAATCAACCCCAGTTATGTGCGTTTGAGTGGATGTTGACACCGCCTGGCTGTATAGACAGGAGGGAGTTAGCCCTGTAATAACCGGTTGTTTGGTCGGCAGCTATTAATTCATCTGGGAGGCAGCAGGCAGAAGGGTGTGTTTGAAGAGCACCATCCTTCAAACCAGTTGTATTTCAGGCTGTCGTTTACAAGCCACAAACGCGAATGAAACTCGCCAACCACAAAGGCAAATGATGTACAGCTGTCCTAACACGATGTAGAAGATAATGAAAGAGCTTAGCAAGCTGTAAGATCCTGGTGCGGTTGAAATGATAGGATGCCATCCCACTCGACACCAGCGCGAATACAGCTGTCAATTGAAAAAGACAGGACGCATCATCTATATGTGTCTTTTTGCAGCTAAAGCGACAGGCAAATGTGCGAACAAACCCAGCCTCCACAAAACAGGCGCAGCCTGAAGTCCGGTCAATAGGGGAGTCTGAGCAACTATTGAACGGCAAAATGTGGCTTCCTCTAATTAGGGGAACATCAACATGTTTCTCCATTTTGCGCCCAGCTTCACCGCCATGAGTTCAGCCTGCCATTCCGGCTCCAACGGAGCAGATCGAAGGCTCGGCCACTGTGTACAATGGGCACTAGCCGGTAGCTGAGGAGTTCGGCTCCAAATCAGAAAGCACGAGAGAAGTATCAGGTTTGGCTATGGCTAGCACCTCCGGGTCGCAATATGGTATTGTGCCCAACACGTGAGAAAACAGGCGTGCGCCAAGCGGAAAGATTGAAGGAATGAATCCAAAGCATGCGCTGAACCTAAACGAGATTTATCCGCAAATCCAACCTCAGCTTTTGCCCAAGTATAGTGTGTGATTCTGATCCACACTATATATACATATGTATACTCGTATAGTATCTCTGCATCACAAGTCAAACGAAATCCCATGAAAACAAAAGCAAACACATTTCCGGACATGTGAACCAAAAAGTCCTCTTGCCCAACAGCTCAAGTTGCGAGCCAAAGCCCAGAGCTATTTGAGCCTTGTTTGTCTTTCCTGCAAACAACGGGAGGCCCTAGAACAAAAAGAGAATCTCTGTTTGGAGGTTCCCCATAAAGCGAGGTTCTCCTGAAAAGAGTTCCCCCCCGCCAGTTTTCCTCAGGGTGGCCAAGAGGCAAACCTCAACCCATACCGGAATACTCATCTGTCCTTTGGTGTCAGATTTGGACCCAGGTTGAAGCCTGCGCCGGGGCGTCCGTGTATCCAAGCGATATTGGGCGCGACGCAAAGCTGAAAGGCGAATTGAATTGGTCAAGAAACAAATCAGGTCTTGACCTGTCTGATGTCTGACTGCATGATCCTCTCAGCTGCGCGTTTGGCAATTTTCGAGCCCCCGATAGACTTGGCTAGAGGAGGTTCAACCCTCGCTCTTTGACCAATCGTCAATTATGACGTGCGCGACAGCTCAGCCGCCTTTGCACCAGCCTTCTTTGTTGGGACACTTCTTGGAGCAGTCCACTCCTGGCAACCATGTTTCTCTTGGGTGGCTGTTTCCGCGAAATTGGGGACCACAAAAATAGGTGGCCTGGGAAGCGTTCTTTACGGCTTTCATTTCAACACCGTCCAACGAAAAGGCCCTCCCTACGGTGGCCCGCGTCTTTCCGTTCAACTTGTTGCCCGGCGCGACACATCCAAATTGCATGCAAGGCTGAGATTCCATGAGGCCAAGCAAAAAAGCAACCAAGATACAAGTGAAACCTGGCAACTCGTCCAATGACTGACTCTGCCACGACATGTTTTTAACCAGCACTTCCCTTTGAACATGATTTCAAATCGTCCAAAAGCACAACTGCCGGGTTTCCAAGCCCCTGAGTCAAAGACTCAAAGCTGCGCTTCCCCGCCCATTGCTCCTGCCGGCACCGCGAACATCTCGTCCGGCTCCGGGGAAGTGTCGTAAGAGGCCAGGTCGAAGGTTAACCTCAGCTTGTCAGGTGACTGAACTTCCCTTTGCAAATCGCCATCGAACCCCAAAACCATCATCGGTAGAAGCAAATTCGGAAGCCCTTCTTCCACGTTGATTCTCAGGGGAGTTTGTAGAAGTAGAAGTCCAACTTGTTCACCCACCTTCAGCCCAATTCTCCTGAAGTTCAACAGCTGGGTTTTGGCCCAAGCTGGGGCAAGTGGCAGGAGTTAATGCTTCGAGCAAAAGGAGGAGACAGGCAGGGTTCCTCACCAAAAACAGCTCTGACACGGAGGCCTTTCTTTCAAAAAGTTGGCATGGACAACATCAGTGCCTGTCACATTAAAGGAATTCACTCAGTCAGTTCCCTCGAAGATGTACGCGGAACCCAAACAAATTGTTTGTGGAGGAACCTTCTGTTTAGGGATTCCTTTTGGGGGTTCTATCTCAATCTGCAGGGAAGCATGTTCATGTTGTGTACAAGTCGAGTCAACCAATCCGCTACCCCTCCCCTTGCGACATGTAATTGTACACAACGCCTTCTGATTGCGGAACTGGCAACAACATGAAACACACGCTCTGAAACATCCTATGAAAAATACTATTGTAGAACACTGCCATGTTGATGGCTTGTGTGCCCGGCAAAAGGACACCCCGCCCATTTGGACAATGACCAAAGTGGCCTGACAAGACCTGACCCTATGACATGAGTTCCCCGGAAATGCTTCTCATTGACAAGCATGGCTTCCCTTTCCCCTCAATTGCTTAGAGGGATGCGTCTTGTCCGCAAAATGCCAAGACTCAGATTACTCCGGGTGCTTCTCACAGGGAGGGGTGAAAAGGATGAAGCTCCCACAATTGAGTTTGGGCACCCCTTTTCCAGGATGTGAATAATCATAAAAAGACAGCACTAAAGCAACATGGGGAAACTCGTTTTCCATCTTGGTTGAACAAGAAATGCCGCAGAGCCGCCCACAAATCTCACCCATCTTAGGTCTTAGGCCCCCCCCGACATCCAAGGAGCTGATGCTTCAGGCCCAACAGCCTCACCGGTTCGGGCACACGACTCACCGAGCCCAGACTGGGCGACAAGGCCAATCTACCTGGCGTAAGCATATACCACAGCATGGGTCTTTCATGGACCCCCAGAAACCTATTAACCCCTTAATAAGGCCTGATTCAGGGCTTATCCAGGGATGGCCTCCCTTCCATAGACCCCTGCTGAAGCGTCCATGAATTCATCCAGGTCCAAACCCGGCGAACACTTAACACTGTTGCTACCTCTGCGATATCGCCGCAAGCCCAAGATGCGGACATGTCTCCTGACCCCTAAGCTGACAGGTTCACCTGTGGTTGCCCTCAACACGACCCCAACTCGGGTGCAATCCCAAAAAAAAGAACCCCATGCGTTTCGCGGTCAAAAGGCGACAGTTGCAGTCGCTTTGAGTTTCGCGCAAGTGGTGGGATGGCCAGAGCAACGTGCATTTTGTGCTTTGTGGTTTCGGTTTGAGTGCCACCTCAACTGTTGGAAGCAACATGTGCAACCTAAGAACATCACTCCAAAGGAACATTCAACCACCATTGCCAATGTAAAGACACACCCCAGATCGAAATGGCCCGCCTGAAGACGCGCTTGAACTTGTCCTCATAGGTGCAGGGGATGCCGTGGGCATCCAAGGCCCAATTATCCTGAGCCACTTGGGTCACTTGAGCTGACTTTGGGTGCTACCAACTCACTTGCAGCTTATATATGAGAGTTCTAGGAAACCTTTGTTGGTTGGTTTTGAAGGGAAACCAGAAGGAAAACCACAAATTTGTGAGGTCCCGCAAGAGAGGCACACCCACATGGGCCTCAGCATTGTGCCGCCAGGGCTAGCCCTGCCCACTTCGAGAACCTGGGTTTGACAGGCCCAAGTGGTGTTCAAGCAATTCGTCTCTTGCCCAAAGGACTCGGACATAAACTCTGCCTTCACTCCAAAGGAAGTGAAGAAGCACTCATGTTTCAAAGGGCCTGCTCAAAAAAGAGTACCTTCTAGAACCTTGACAAAAAAAAAGGCGAACATAAAACAGACAACTTGTAGGGGGACCCTGTGCAGCCTGTGCCCGGTTTTGATGGCCAAAACCGGCTCTTCCCATTTGAGTGGCCCGGACATATACGGCTGTGAGGGGCCATTGCAGCGGTCACTGCCCTTCAAAAGTTGCAATTAACTGGTTGCGGCCACAAAAACGGCCACTTTGCATCAGTGACTTGATCCATTCCACAAGTCTTAAACATACTTTGAATGAACCAAATTACGCACAAGCTAGCTACTTCATCGCAGCATTCATTTCTGGTCTCATCCATCCAAACCAGTGCAGGATTTGTCCATCCAAAGAATCAGCGATGAATCATCCATGCCATCTTGCCAACACCTGTTCATGTAGTCTAGTCAGAAACAGCGTTCTTGCCCATGCTCACCATCCGCTTTCAAGTTGTTTCAAGGCCAGGCAGCTGAAATCATTGTAAACCAATCGCCGGGATGATCTGAGGCCCACCTAAGATACGGGCACAGCGGCTAAACATGATAATCAGTCGGCGCTGGGCAGTCTGCTCCCAAACATCCAACTAGCTTCTTCACACAACGTGCAGCAAAGTGGTCGAGTCATCAGGAGATGAGAGACTGCACAGCCCGCTAAAAATATTTCCCGTGCTGTCATGGTACCATCTGTTGACAAGCCACTCTCTCAGCCTTGATGAAATCGACTAAAAACTAGTGCTTTCTACAAGTACGCTACTTGGTGCCGTGCCGATAACGGTCCACAGCGTTGATGGCAATCCATGCGCCAAGACTTGTCACCAGGAAACTGCACCGGGTCACACATAGACAAACATACCGCGATGAATGTATACAGATTGAACCGTTCCAAAACGATCGGAGCTATGTCAAAACCCTGAATTTGGACGATCAAGCAACAAGGAATGGTAGAGGGCGCCCGCATTTTTGCTTTGGGAGTTCAAGTCATCTATGTAAACACGTACATGTGAGGGGATGAGTTCAAACACCTCTCCTGAGCAAGCTGACCTTAGATGCTGCCAAAGAGCTCATAACAGGTCCGATTGCCCTCATTGCTTGTGCCCACCTCAGGCCCAGTGCATGGAGCTCTCTGAAAGGGAAGAAGCCAACTCTGTCGTCGGTTTCATGTGGTGCACGTCTTTCCAGAAACTTGTTCACTGAAAGGTCGGGCATGGATGGTGTATAAAAGGCAAAAGCTGATGCGCGCAGCAGTCGAGCTTCATTGTGAAGGCCTGGTGCATCTTCATATAATCAGCAAAATGTACTGGTTTAAACATATCAACTTCGATGGAAAGACCTTGAGTTCCGTTTCCATCAGTTTCGGCTTAGACTGACCAGAACTCATGCTCTTTTGCGCACTGACTGTATGAGCTGCTCTGTCTTGACCCATCAATTCCCAATCTGTTCTTGAGAACCCAGGAGTTGTCTAGTTCTGATAGATGTTGAGCGGCTGGCAGGCGATTCTCCTGCATAGTCCACACTTTGGCTCCAGCAACACCCTCTTGCACAGAGCGTCACACCATCTTCCAGCAAACATCTTATATTATTGCTCTCTTAAAACGCCTGGTGCATGTGCGTGTGACATGGGCCCTTATCCTTGGAGTCGCGTTGTCGTCAGCAGCCAAGCATCGAATGTTGGCCCTCCCGAGAAGATACATCCTAAAATTACTTGAAGCAGCGGGCACCAAAGGGAACCAAACAAAATAAAATCATCTTGGTATGGGTCAAAGTTAAGCCACCAGGAATCGGACCGCAGGTTTGAGTCGACTTGTTTCCATTGACCTGGGCAACCCATTTTGGGGTTACCCACCGCCATTTGGCCACCGGTCAAAGGCCCGTGCCCCCAGTGAACATCCCAATCCCCACTAAAATAGGTTCTAAAATGGGTGGTGAATTCCCCTACCAACCAAAATGATACCAAAACGGTTCTTGACAACCACAGCATTTGGAGAGTAGAGACCAAACCACGCATCAACTCTCTGACCCTCTTCCCGTTCTGAGGCGCCAGGGAGGCGTTGCTTTGCACCAGCCAATCCGGGCGCAAGGGGCCGAAGCCCTGCTCGCGAGTGAGGCCATAGACCCGTGGATCTCGACCGGAGAAGTCTTGATACTGACGGACGAAATCCTCTTAACTTAGGCACCTAAGAAACCCTAGTGTCTGATGATTCCCCTGTAAATACCAACAAACAATGGGTTTCAACCATGGTTTCGAAGCGGTGCAGGATTTTGTCCATGCAAAGTAGGTGTTGTGTTGAAACTCATTGGGTGTTAGGTTGCTACAGGTTTTCTCACATTTTCCCCTGAACTGGAAACTGGCCAAAGCGATGGTTGTTTAGATGAGCCAATGCGCCACCAGGAAACAATCGGGAATGGGGGGGGAATTCACAATTTGGTGGTTTGCCTTTGCTTTTCCTTTAAAACAAATCCGCATCTCGAATATGTTGGGAAACCGCCATCTCAAAAAAGCTGGAGCAATCAAAGCACGTTGACATAAACAAATCATGATTGAACACAGCTTGAGGCTTCACATTATGTTCTCTCGACATCTCGTACTCCTGTGGAGCATTTGCTTGCGCAAAAGGTAGATATGTAGCCCTCACTAAGCATGTGCACCGTTGCTGATGTGTGTGTGTGTTCCTCACTGTGGTCATGTGTGTGTGTGTGTGTGTGTGTGTGTGTGTGTGTGTGTGTGTGTGTGTGTGTGTGTGTTTGGCTTGCTTGCTCGATGGTGCGCTTGCTTGCTTGCTTGCTTGCTTGCTGGCTTCCTTGTACTTTGTATGGTTGCTTGCGTTCTTGAGAGCTTGATTGCTTGCTGGTAGGTTTGTTTGTCTGTGTTTGTGCGTTTGTGTGTTTCTGTGTGCGTGTTTGCTTGTTTGTTTTTTTGTTTGTTTGCTTGTTTGTTTGCTTGTTTGTTTGCCCGCCATTGCCCGCCTGTCTGTCTCTGTGTTTGTGTTTTTGCTCGTTCGTTCGTGTGTTTCTTTGTGTCTTTGTTTCTTTGATTGCTTGCTTGCTTGTTTGCTAGCTTGTTTGCTTGCTTGATTGTGTTTTTCCTGCTTAGTTGGCTGGCTGACTGGCTGACTGGATGGCTGGCTCTGGCAGGCTGGTTGGTGGGTCAGGTTGTTGTTCTACAATTTTGTGTCTGTGCTTGTTTGGCGTGGCGAGTGCTTCTGTCTGTGTGTGCTATGTTGTTTGTTTGTTTGTTTGCTTGCTTGTTTGTTTGCTTGTTTGTTTGCTTGTTTGCTTGTATGTTTGAATGTTTGTTTGTTTGTTTGTTTGTTTGTTTGTTTGTTTGAATGGTTGTTTGCGTGTTTGTATGTTTGTGACAGATTGTTTTGGTTTGTTTTGCTTGCTGTTTGTTTGTTTGCTTGTTTGATCGATCGATCGATCGATCGATCGATCGATTGATTGATTGATTGATTGATTGATTGATTGATTGATTGAATGCTTACATGATTGCTTGCTTGCTTGGTCGATTGATTGCTTGATTGATTGGTTGATTGATTAATTGATTGTTTGATTGCTTGACTGCTTAATTGTTTGATTGATTGCTTGCTTGTCTTCTTTTGACTTGTGTGGTTGTGTGTTTGTTTGCTTGTTTGATTGTTTGTTTGTGCTTGCTTTTTTGATTGTTTGTTTGCTTGCTTGCTTGCTTGCTTGCTTGCTTGCTTGCTTGATTGATTGATTGATTGATTGATTGATTGATTGATTGATTGATTGATTGTTTCTGCTTGTTTCTGCTTGTTTATCTGCCAATATTGTTGGTTGGTTGGTTGTTTGTGCGCTGGTTTGCTTGGTTGCTTGGTTGCCTAGTTGTTCGTGTGTGTGTGTGTGTGTGTGCTTGTGCGTTTGTTTGTGTGTGGTGGGGTTTTGTGTGTGTGTTCTTTTGTTTTTCTGAGGTTATTTGATTGCTTGCTTGATTGCTTGCTTGATTGCTTGCTTGATTGCTTGCTTGTGTGCTTGCTTTTGTGCTTGTACGCTTGTTTGTATGCGTGTGCGTGTATGTCTGTTTGTTGATTTTGTTTGCGTGCTTGTTTGTGTGTACGTACGTACTTGACTGCCTGCCTGCCTGCCTGCCTGCCTACCTGCCTGGCTGCCCGCCCGCCCGCCCGCCTGCCTGCCTGCCTGCCTGCCTGCTTCCCTGCATGCCTGCTTGCTTGCTTGCTTGTTTTGTTGTTCGGTTGGCTGTTTGGTTGTTTGTTTATTTGTTTGTTTGTTTGTTTAAGGGTTTGCCTGCTTGCTTGCATGCCTGCCTGCCTGCCTGGCTGCCTGCTTGCTTGTTTGTGCTTGTGTCTGTGCATGTGCTTGTGTTTGCGGGATTGTTCGTTTGCTTTGCCAATGTCTGTGCTTTCGCGCCTGTGTTTGCTTGTGTATGTGCTTGTTTTGGGTGCTTTGCGTGTTTGTTGGTGCAGTGGTGCGCGTCTGCTTTGTGTCTGTGATTGTGTGTTGTGGCTCCCATATTAAGACTGATCATAATCAAAAGAGCAAGAAACCCCAAATGCGCGCCGAAGGCTGCGCCCTGAACAAAAAGAGGTGGATTGACCGTGGTTAATCCCTCAGCGGTTCAGGGGGTTGTCTCTACACTCTAGTTCCGCACTCAGCGCCCTTTTTCAGTGAGCGCTTGAGCCAAACGGCGTTTGCCGTTTGACAAGTCTGTCATGTCATGCAACCCTCAACCTAAACCAAAGTGGCCTCATGCAAACCTCACGCCAGTGAATACACAACTAGGCAAGTTACCATGCCTTTGGGGGCAAAGGGGTCGTTATTTCTTGACTCCCCCCTCGCCGTGTGCACTAAGGCAGGGTAAGCTTTTGCTTTGGAGCGCGATACGCTGCTCCCTGGTCATCAAGGCTTTAAAAGGATGAAGGATATTTTGGCACTTTTAGTACTCATAGCACTGCTTTCGGAATGACTTTCTACTTTTTGATGTTGAATCGAGTATCTTCTAGCTCTTCTGGGAGGTCTGTGCGCATTCCCAGGAGCCTCAAGGCGTGATCCCACTTATGTGGAGGCAAAGCCTTGGTAAAGATATCGGCAGCTTGGAAATCGGTCTTCACATATTCAAGCTCTACTCCAGTGCCTTCCTGTAACTGTTCTGCAAGGGATGCTAGGTTAACCCTATGTGTCCTAGAAATTGATCGCAACTTCGAAGAGTGCCCTTTCCTTGCAACCAGAATAGTAGCTTGATTGTCTTCATGGATCCTGAGGGTCATTGGGCGACCCAATAGTCGATCCCACAGACTAAGTGTCGGGAGTCCCTCCTGATACAAAGAAAATGCTAACGACACAATCTCTGCTTCTGTAGTGGAACGCGACACAGAAGTCTGGCGCTTGCTAATCCATGCTAAGGGGAAGTGGGAATTCTGACCTTTCAGGGCGAGAAACCCCCCTGACGTGGACTTGGCCCCCTCCTCTCCTGCAAAGTCAGCGTCGACGTAGAGCGCAAGATGCAGCTCCCTGGGATCGTCTTGAACTGTGCCAACCAACCTGTGCGTTGTGGTCGTGTTAATGTAAGCTATTAGCCTAGCCAACTGCCTATCATTATTACGCGACCATTTTTCAACGCACGTTGCAAGATCCCCGATGGGCTTGATTATGTCTGGACGTGCAAGACGTCCCAACCACAAGGCCTTCATCAAGATTTTACAAGCGGCTGAGCTCAGTTCACCTGCTTCGGCATCATCTTGTGTTGGCAATGCTTCTGGACAGAATGGGGTCAATGCCTTGCGGAGCTTACTAATCGGCTGACCTGAAATGGAGACATATAGATCAACAGTTTGCTTGGCGTAGTCAACCATATCAAAAGCCATTGCGTTGGACAGCGCGCCAAAGGCTGCGCTCTCGGCTGGATTAGGCTCGCACTTCGGGGCGTTAATGATGACATGATTCCTTCCCAAAACACGATATATCGGTTCTGGGGGTTCAATATCAACACATGACATCAGCTTTTCCCAAAAGGGGTCATGCTGCTCTGCCGGCCCTGAAAGTGTTAGATCATCCACATAAGTGGATAGCATTAAGCCGGTTGAGGGGAAGTAAAAGTTTCCTGGAAATTCTTGGATCTCCTCTCCGGTCTGCTCCTTCAAGATCTTCTTGAAGTGCTGCTCCCATAGCCCCCCCGCGTCGGGGTGACCGTAGAGTGCTTTTACTAGAAGGACTACCGGTTTTATAAACTTTTCTTTCCACCACTTCGGACGAAGTTCCGGCGGCAACGATATCCACGTCTGATGTTGAGATCGAAGTAGGGCCTGGATATATGCCTTTACGGCGTCTGCCGCCGTGGTTTTGTGACCTGGCAGTGCCAGGGCGGGTCATCCAGCCGCAAAACGCGGCAGGGCACCCGGAAAACAGCAGAATCAGGCCGGATTGGAATTTTGCAGCCGGATGCCTTTCGACACGGTTTGTGCGCGCGCAGCACGCCTTGGAAAGGCGTTGGCGGAGCTCTGCGAGGGTTGACTGTGCGAGCGGCCTCCCCGGGTCCCGCAGGACGCGCCAATCAGAAACCCCCAGCTAGAGCGTGCAGCATCGCGCAGCCACACTTTCCACCTTCTTGCGCAAGATCGCACAACCTTTAGTTGGCGAGGCAATGAGCAAGCTGAGCTACGAAGTTGGCAAGGCAATTGTTCCAAGAGGACGCAAAGGATGGCGAGCCATCCAGCAGCGCAAAGCGCGTGAAAATTTCGAGCTTCGCCACGTTGCCAGGTAAATTGAGTCGCCAAGTTGACACGTCAATTACCCGAAGCTGAGGCAGGCTTGGGACACAGGCGCGCAAACACTTGGGCCGGCACGGGCCTCTAAGTTGGAGGCCTAGCACGCGAGTAAGTTTGGCAAGCTTGAGCCACTAAACTGGGAAGGACTAACCGCACAGGCCGCCAACTGCGCGAAAAGATTGGGCAGTCTTGAGCCACCGTCAGAAAAGGCGCTCTTTCAACATCCGTTCTCTTTCCTCGCGCAGAAGGGGCGCGGGCGCATCGGCCTATAAGCCAGCGCTCTTGTCATGTTGCAAGGACAGCAAAAAGGCATTGGTGTTGACATCAGGCTTCGCGGGCTTCTCGACCG